CAGTTTTTCATAAATTTTACTGAACATAGATAAAATATTCTCAAACACACAACATGAGAAAATCCAGACATCATTTGTCAGTTGAAAGACTTTTTTGCAGGATTTTTTAAAATTTTCTTAAGAGGAGAAGAAGAATTTTGTAACATTTATTCATTCTGGACTTTACTATTTGACTCATTAGCACAACTAGTGTTTGAACATGGAACTGCATACACCATCATCACTCCCAGGTAAAAGACAGATGAGTGACAGGACAGGGGCACTGCAGTGGACCAATCAGGTTTCAGTTGGGGCAAATGCCCCTGCGGCCCCGCCCCTAGAACCGCCCCTCACATATCATAACATCTGGAGCAAGTTGAAGTTCAGTTTGTTTAATTTAAAGGCAACTGCAGAGGCTAAGAGAATTAGCTCATTAGCTAGAGTGTTAGTTTTCCAAAAAGGAGAAAAAGGGAAAAAAGTGCAACTGACACAAATTATATCTAACAATAAAAACCATCATATTAACCCTTCTATGACAACAAATAAATAACAAATTTCACTGTTTTAAATAGTTTTATTAGTACTGAGAAATATATATTATATCCAACCATGATAGATAAGTTAATCTGCAGGTACTTACACTATATTCCTGTTTTTGATTTACCAAATGTCTGAGTAAAAACTGACACTAAATCCCCTGAGGAAAATGTAGCTACAAAATGACAATTGGGAAGCTAAAAAGAATTATTGTTTAACTGAAACTCAAACACTGCCTCGGATGTTTGTTTTTTTTTTTTTTTTGCGCTCCTGTTGTGAAAAATGTCTCATCTTAAATGTTCTGCTGATATTTTTTGACGCACTAAAATGCACATAGTTTCTGTCAGCTTTATGTAAATCTGTACAACAAAGTTCCTCTTGTTCCACGCCGTAGGTACGGCACGACACAAGGACATTTTATGTTCTAAAAAGCTGGTGAATGAGAGTGTTACTGGATGGGCAGGCATGCATGTGTGAGCACACGAGTGGCTTCGCGTAGCTTTTCAGGATCCCCCTGGAGGGTTTTAACGTGAGGTATGTTAAACTTGTGGTGAGAAGAATGCTGAAGTGGGCATATTTCAAACTTTCCCCTGAATGATAGAAGCTGGAGAGGATGCATGTGCAACGTGGTGGAGGCAACCTTTCAGTGGCCAACACCCTTCATATTGCATGCTTGACTGAGTTGTACTTTTACACAAGAACGTGTGAAAGTCWGAGAATGCAAATTGATGTGAAAAGTCTAGAGTTTGTGAAAAGTCAACATTATTGAAATCWTTATTTTATGTATTTATTGCTCTAATTTTGAGGATGAGAGAAAAGAAGTTCATCCAAAGATGACAAATAATTTGTCCCAAAACTGCAAAGAGAAGAAATTTTCACTGTTAAAACAAACGGTGCACCACTATGCAAGTGTGCAAATTCAAATCTCCTACTGAACCAGATCTTAACCCAGGGAATGGACATGTGGCTCAAAACACTTGCAGACCAGATAAAATCAATAGAGACCAGCATAAAGCATTAAAGAGAACAAAATAATGCCAGAATGTTTGTGTTTATGATTGTGTTCGTTTATTAGTTCTAGTGTTTTCTGGATAGTTTGATTTCTTGTATTTTATCTTTTCTTGTGTTTCGTTCCTCTGTGTCACTTCTCATTCCCTCTGAGTCTGTTTCCTGWGTTTTCTGAGTCAATCAGCCACTCTCACCTGTTGTTAGTCCCCAATCAGCACAGCTGCATTCCATAGTCTCATCAGCCCGTTCTTACTCATTCAGTCTTCTTTCATATCAGCTCTGCATTGTCATAGCTCCTGCTGGAGGACACACTGCACTGAACAATACATTATATAAAATCCCAAAACATGAGACAGGTCAATGTGAGCACTGTGGACAAGAAGAAACCATAGAACACGTCACTTTAGTATGCAGGGAATACAAACAACACAGAAGATGGATGATAGAAGAATTAATAAAAATAAAAATAAAACATTTAATATAATCAATATATTACAAAAAGAAACCAGAAGTGAAAGTGTACAAAT